ACTGCTTTAGAACTCAGAGCAAGTGATGCTGTGCTACTTCCTGGGCTCAAGCCATAGAAGACTAGCAGCTGGCTGCCTGCTGAAATGCTTGTTTGGGCATGCTTCCTCTCTGAATCTAGCCCCCATGCTCTGAGGGACCTAATGGAGGGGCCATATGTAGGTACTCTGGTTTTCACCTCTATTCAGCCTTCCAGCCAACAGCCAGCAACTCCTGCTAGCCAAACAAGTGAGCCATAGTTAGCAACTAGTCCTGCTGAATCTTCAGATGACTCCAGTCCTGGTTGTGACTACAACCACATGGGACTCAAAGCAAGAATCACCCAGCCAAGCTCAGCCAACACACAGAATCATGAGAGCTATTAAGAAATAGTTGTATTAAGTAGTGGGGCTCCTGGGTGGCTCAGTTGGTTAAGTGTCTGACTTTGGCTTCGGTCATGATCTCCCAGTTCTTGGGTTCAAGCCCCATGTAGGGCTCTGTGCTGACAATTCAGAGCCTGGAGCCCGCTTCAGATTCTGTGTCTCCCTCCCTCTCTCTGCTCCTCCCCTGGCTTGTGCTGTCTCTCTTTCAAAAATAAATAAATGTTAAAAAAGTTTTAAAGAAATAGTTGTATTAAGTAATAGAGAAAAGATCACAGAACAGCCTGTCCTATCCTAACCAATATGATGGTGTGAGGCAAAAAGGCTCATTCGTATAATATTTAAATTTTTGGCTATATGCATGTGATTTATTTTTCAATTAGATAAAACTATAATTTTGAATTCAAAACTTGTAGGCCTTGGGCCATTAAAACTTTTTTTTTTAGGGGCACCTGGGTGGCGCAGTCGGTTAAGCGTCCGACTTCAGCCAGGTCACGATCTCGTGGTCCGTGAGTTCGAGCCCCACGTCAGGCTCTGGGCTGATGGCTCAGAGCCTGGAGCCTGTTTCTGATTCTGTGTCTCCCTCTCTCTCTCTGCCCCTCCCCCGTTCATGCTCTGTCTCTCTCTGTCCCAAAAATAAATAAACGTTGAAAAAAAAAATCTGTAAAAGATTTTAAAGAAAAAAAAACAAACAAAACAACTTTTTTTTTTAATATTTTGATGCAACGGCCATAAATACTTATTGATCACCTCCTGAACTGTTGCCAGGTGCTGTTCTAGGTCTGAAGACAGAGCCAGGATCAAAGATGACTTGGTCCTGGCTCTCCTGAAGTTTATAGCCTGGCTGGAAATACAGATCAAAACCAACACAAACACAGGAACAAGAACCTCTCTGGAGCCATAAGGGCTCTGAAAGGAAGAACAATTAGTTGATGTTGTAGATGCTGATGGGAATAGAGGCTATTTCAGATTGGATGAACAGGGAAGATCTTCCGAAAAAAGGGGTTGTGCCAGCTCTTAAAAGTTCTGAAGGAAGAGGCTCCTGGGTGGCTCAGTCAGTTGAGTGTCCGACTCCTGATTTCAGCTTAGGTCATGATCTCACAGTTTGTGGGTTTAAGCCCTATGTCAGGCCCTGTGCTGGCAGCATGGGGCCTGCTTGGGATTCTCTCTCTCCCTTTCTCTCTGCCCCTCCCCCACTCTCTCTCTCAAAAAAAAATTAAAGGTTCTGAAGGAAGAGCACCAGGAATAGAGAATATCCAGGGTAAAGGTACCAACATAGGAATGAGTTAGTTATTTCAGTGTTGTGAATAAGGCTTTGTTCACAGGGTAAAAAGAGGTAAGGTCAGAGATGTGAGCAGGAGCCAGAGCAAGCAGGGCATTGAAGGCCATGATAAAGGTTTTGAGATTTGCTTTCAATATGCTGGAATATACTGGAACACCCTTTGAAGGTTTTTTTTTTGTTTTGGTTTTTTTGGAGGGTTTTAAGTAAGAGTAACATGAGCTGATTTAGGTTTTTAGGTAATCACTTTGGCTGCTAGGAGACACCTAACCCAGGTGTAAGTTTCAAACTACAGTTGACCCATGAACAACACGGGGGTTAGGTGCACCAACCCAACCCATGAACAGTAAAAATCCACATGTAACTTTTGACTCCCCTAAAACCTAACTACTAATAGCCTACTGTTGACCAGAAGCCTTACTAATAACATAAACAGTTGATTAACACATAGCTTATATTTGTATTATATACTGTATTTTATTTTGTAAAATTTATTTATTTATTTTGAGAGAGAGACAGTGCAAGCAGGGAGGAGGCAGAGAGAGAGAGGGAGAGAGAGAATCCCAAACAGGGTCCCCGCTGCCAGTGCAGAGTCAGATGCAGGGCTCGAACACACGACACTGTGAGATCATGACCTGAGCCAAAACCAAAAGTTGGACGCCTAACCGACTGAGCCATCCAGGCACCCCTGTATACTGTATTTTAACAGTACAGTAAGCTAGAGAAAAAGTGTTATTAAGAAAATCATAAGGAAGAGAAAATACATTTACAGTGATGTGCAGCCACAAGCAGATAGTTAAGGAAGGATTCTTGAAATGTTTTCAGTGCAAAAAGGTGCATTTATTATAGCACGGGGACAGGACCTATGAGCAGAAAGAGCTGCACTTGTGTTTGTGAGGAGTGACTGACTGAATACTTTTTAGTTAGTGGGGGTTAGGGATAGTGTAAGTCTGTAAGGAATTTGGAAACAAGGCTTCCAGGACTTTGAGGAGCCAGCAGTGGCTAAGATAAGGTTATGTGCCACTGTCTACTAAAACATTAGTCTTGAGACCCTTCAGATGTATACTGGCAGGCCATATGCTTGTTAGGTAATTGCTAACGTATATCTTGGGAGGTATTTATGGCTATAAGAGGAAAAGTAACTCTAACACTAACAAGAGCAAAGCTATATTGGTAAAATATAGGTAAAAGGGAAGTCCTTGAGGGAGCTGTAGGAGTGTTACAATCTGTATGCCTCAGGAGTTCTGCCTGGAGACTGTGAGTAACAGAGCTACAACAAGGCCTGGCCTTTGTTTCTTTTTCTCCCATCATACGGTACTGTATTTATTGAAAAAAAAAATCCGTGTATCAGTGGACCTGTGGAGTTCAAACCCATGTTGCTCAAGGACCAACTACATATTCTCAAGTGCATTAAGACTGAATATGATATAGTCACTTTTTATATATATTGGTCACCAAATCATATTTTTATTACATAAAGATAAATGAAACAGCATATTAAATGTGAAAAATGTTTTGTCATATACTATGAATGTTCTTTAAGATTTTACGTGAACTTTATAACACAATCTTTCATATTCTAAAGATAGAAGATAGATATTTTTAGCCAAAATCAATCACTTCTTTATCAGACTATTCAAAAATGACAAATTATTTTAAATTTCCTAGGAGTGTTTTGTGAATCAAAAAGGGTTAGGACCCCCTCACCCCAAAATGACTCTTCACCTGAGAGAAATAGCATCTCTGCGCCTTACAGCCAAGCAGAGCCCTGTTAACACATCCTTCAATGCACACAGCCCCAGTTCCTCTGATGGTGTCCCCGGGCACCTGAGAGTCAGACAGGTGAATTCCTAAAAGGAATTCATCACTGTCACCAACTGGCTCTAGCTTTCCATGGTACCATGCCCTTTTCCTGTGTATGCCTTCTGGTGAATGCTACTACCCGCACCCAGCCCTTCAACAGACAGGCTAGGCTTGGACTGGGGCTGAGGTCAGAAAGGCCTTAACTCAATGAAGGGGCAGGAAAGTTTTCCTAGAGGAGGTGACCCATGAGTAGGAACCTAAAGGGGAAGGTGTTCCAAAGGAACTTGTGCAAAGGAAATGAGGGTCAGAGGCAATGACATGTGGGTGACTGAATCCATTTCACAGTAATTTCAAAGCACAGCAGGGTACATTGTCCTGGGGTGTCATTGGCATCTACTGCTTTCCAAGTCCTGTGACCCATCCCCATGGGCATCTCAAAAGACCTATCACCTCCAGGGCCTGTGTGGCTCCCCAACATTGCCCAGTTTCTCTCCATCTCCTGGGGAATGGACAGGTCTGCATTTATTCATTGAGAGCAGGGCCTGCTGGGGCCTTACAGTGTACCCAGGGGTGAGGCTGGGTCCAGTGAATCCCTCCTTTCATTCTTCACACCAGTTATGTCTGCAGAGCTCTGGACAGGGATCTTGCTGGAGACAGGTTTGTTGTTGTTGTTGTTTTTAAGTTTATTTAATATTTATTTTGAGAGAGAGCATGCCTGTGCAAGCAGGGGAGGGGCAGAGAGAGAGAGAGAGAGAGAGAGAGAGAAAGAGAGAGAATACCAAGCAGGCTCTGCACTGTCAGGCTGTCAGTCCTACGTGGGGTTTGAGCTCAAGAACCATGAGACGTGACCTGAGCCAGATCAAGAGTAGGATGCTCAACCGACTGAGCCACCAGGGCGACTGACAGTTTTATCACAGTTCCCTACAACCCATGATTCACTGTCAAGTGTACCTGCAAGAGACGTTGCTACTCTTCCAGAGGTCGCCCCTGGAGCGAACTGTTGAGCCCTGAGGCAGGACATTGGGCTGCTGGCCAGGTTAGCCACCCACTCCTGTGCAACCTCAAGTCAGATGCTTTTCCCTTCTGGGCGAGGGATTTGCCAGATGAAATCAGCTGCATCCTTTCATTCTCAGGGACCTTAATTTTTTCGGGGCGAAGAACTGAGCCCCTAAGCCCTGCTCTCCACAAGGGCTTTTCTGCCTCCTGTCCTTCCACGAGTTTCTGTCCCCTGGGACTTTTTATATCATGGAACCTCTGTACTTGTTCTTCCCTCTGCCTGGAATCCTTTTCGCTCTTCTGGCCAACACCTATTTCAGCCCTCAGTCCTAACTCAAATGCGGTCATTTCCCAGAGAGCATTGCCTCTTCCCTTCAGTCCCTTCCTCCTCTGTGCTGCAACTCGCCGTCAAGCTGTGTGCGCCTCACGTCCGTGTCGCCTCTCCTCACAGATCTTGAGCACCTCGAGGGCAGGGTCCGGGTATGAAGGGTCTCTAGCTCAGAGGGCAGCTTGTCCAGGCGGGCCGTGGGCGATCTTCCGTTACTTCTGAACCTGGTCCAGGCGCGGAGGGGTTAATGAGCCGGCCCGGGAGTGTGCCCACAGGCCTGGGGGAAGCCGCCCAGAGCCCGCGACTTCCATCACCGCATATTGCCGCGGACAGCAATGGGAGCCCCGACGTAGGTGAGGATTTTTGGTGCGGTCCGGGTGGTGTAGACCCTGGCGGGGGGCGGCTTCCCCCCATATTAGCGTTGCTTTCTCCCCCCAGCAGACGCTCTTAGTACAATCCGGGGATTCCCCGCCGCTGCCGCCCCCTGACGTCACGGAGTCCCCCGAGGCCCCGCCCCGGTTTCGCCTCCTTCCGCGGGAGGTGCGCGCGGTGCAGGCGCGGGAGCTGCCATGGAGGGGCCCGGCGCCCCCGGTGTCCCCTGGAAACGCCACATAGTGCGGCAGCTTCGGCAGCGGGACCGCACGCAAAAGGCACTCTTCCTGGAACTGGTGCCTGCCTGTGAGTGCGCCACGGGGGGCTTGGAAGATGGCAGTGGAGGGGATGGGGCTCCGGGCGCGGACGGAGTGTTGTCTGGCTCCTCGGCTGTCACCCGTGTGCAGCAATGCCTTCTCGCCTCCAAAGCCTTGGCCCTGCCGGACCTTCGGTCCGATAAACCTCTGCCTGGCCAACATTCCCGCGCTTCCCTGTCCAGGTTCTGCTTAGAGCCCCTTCCTGGACGGAGCTCCCTCCTCGTGCTCCTGCCCTCCTCTCTCCTCAGGGGGCGGCCTCTCCCCAGGCTGGGCTTCCTGGGCATGGCTTCGTTAGCGAGTGTGGGTGTTTTAGGGTCTCTATGCTTCTTCCCTTTCCCGTGCGGTCCCCAGGGTACAACCCAAGTCAATTCATTTGGTCCCTGTGGCCCAGTGAAAGAATTCCAGAGTAGCTGGAGATTCTAAACTCTGAATCTCTTAGGGAGGAAGCTCAGAGTCCCAGGCTTTGCCACTGACAAGTGATCCTGGCTCAGGTTTTTGGAGCACTTCTGTGCTTGGGCAACTGAAGCCTCTAGAGAGAACTGGCTGCTGGTGAACCCAAGAAGTCATACTCTCACAGGTGTTTCTGGGGCGCTGGTCAGGAGTGGGTATGGCAGTTCAAGCCAGGATGAGCAGGTGTACAGTTGTGTGAGTGCCTCTGGTCATTCAAGATTGTAGGTCTGGGGTGGAAAGTCCAACCACTATTCCTCCAGCTCCATCACTGGTCCTAATTTTAGCTGCTGCTTAAATATCTCCGCCCCCCCCCCCCCAACTGAATTTGCTGCTTTTGTCCTGGGTGATTTCCCTGCAGCCTTCTAGGCTGCTGGTCCTCTCCCTCAGGGACGTGAGGCCAGCCTCACTTCTCCACTGCTCTGGTGGACAATGGAACCATCCAACTTGAGGGAAGAGCCTCCTCTCCCTCCCCATCCCCCAGCTGCAATTTGTGTGACTCTGGAGGGCTGGGATCAGACAGTGAAGCTCTAGTCTTCTCTGTGGTCTTGGGTGGGTTATATCCTTAAACCACCAATTTCTCACCCATAAATTAGGCAAACAGCATCTTTAGAGTTGCTGGGAAGTCAGTGCAGTGCCCTGGGGGCTGGGTTGGGGTTTTGTGTGAGAACTAGGCCAGTGACCTAAGTTAAAGGTGACAGGCAGGGGACTGGGTGAAGGAAATTTGCTGAGGAGCTAAACCTGGGATTACCACCCCCACCCTACCCTGAAACTGGTGAGAAAGAGGAAGTGAGTGTGGTGGGGGTAGAGGGAGACATTCCAGGGTCTGTAGCAAAAACTACCAAACTCAAGGAGGTCTGCTACATAATTGTTCAAGGACTTTCTCTTCTGGCCTGGAGGAAACTTACTTACCCCAAATGTGGGAAAGACAGGACTGTTTTTTAGTGTACAAAGTAAGAGGCCCTGGAGGGGAAGTAATTTACCAAAGGCCACTAGCAGGTGGAGCTTGGTGTGTTTCATCATTCTTTGGGGCAAAGCCTTGCTCTGGGGCAAGACTGAATCAATCTCTGGCCCCTTCCTTCCCTCAGGACCCTGAGTGGGCAGTGAGGCCAGCCATATACTTCCCCAGTGGTGGTTGTCTTTCTCTGTCCTCAGGAGAGTAGGTTTCCTGGGAGGGCCTGTGGGCAGATGCTGTAAGGAGGGTCTGCCAGGGCTGAAGGTCTGGTAGAGCTACACAGACACCCCTCAGGCAAAGGGCAGCGCCCAGACTGTCAGCAGCTCCCTCGTTCTGCATCTCTGGGTATGCAGACTCCAGGTATGCCTGGAGTCTGTTGCAAGTGTCTGTCTCTGTCCCAGGTTCACCCTCTTGCACCCCTAGATAACCGTCTCCTAGAGAAGGCTGAATTGTTGGCCCGGATCTCAGAGAAGCTGCAGCCAGAGCCAAACGATGCCACTCCTGCTACGCACCAGGGCCCCTGGTGAGTGTATGTGTATACCTGGTTATGATGAGCTGCCTGTGCCTGGGTCCTGCCCCCACTGCCTGTCCTGGGTTCATTCTCTCTCTGGCACCTCATTGGTCCTTAACTGCTACCCAGGGGAGGGAGGAAGTGGACTCTTGAGGCTTCTTCCAAGCCAGCTGCTTAGAATGGCCTTTCTCCACCACCCTGCTCAATCCAACTCTGCATTTGTCTCATCTCTTCCTTTTCCACGCCCACACTCCTGCCTTTTCTCCTCTTCTCTTTTTGTCTTCTTACCCTTACCTGATGCAGACAGAAAGGGTCTTTGCTACATATTCCAAAGAGAGAGTAGGGTCTTGCTACATATTCCAAAGGGGGAATGAAGATGAGAACCAGGAATGGGCTGGGCCTCAGAGTTTGGAGGTGCTTTAAAAAAACTTTTTAGAAAAAAATATTTATTTACTCTTGAGGGAGAGAGACAGAGTGTGAACAGGGGAGGGGCAGAGAAAGAGGGAGACACAGAATCCGAAGCAGGCTCCAGGCTTCGAGCTGTCAGCACAGAGCCTGATGCAGGGCTCGAACTCACGAATCACAAGATCATGAGCTGAGCTGAAGTTGTACGCTTACCTGACGGAGCCACCCAGGTGCCCCATGGGAGGTGCTTCTTGAGGAGGGTCCTGGCTAAGTAACCCAAGGCCTGGGGAAATCCCAGAGCAGAGGAGTCATGGGTAGTTCCAGTTTTTGGAGACTTGTTCTTTCTTCTGCTGGCTTTCTGGCTTCCGCCCTCTGCAGGTGAAAGTTCATGGCTTTGGTTTCAGGCTTTTTGTGTGCATCCTGTGGGTGAATGGAGGGACAATGAATGCCACTCTTACTGGTTAACAGGGAGGAGGAATCAGAGCCCGATTCAGACCAAGTCCCTTCACCAACCACTCTGAGGATGAAGTGGCAAGAGGAGGAGGAGGGGCTCCGGCTGGTCTGTGGTGAGGTAGGCTGGGCGGGGGTCTGAGAGAGAATGGGGTGGAGCCACAATCCAGGACTTTGGGTGGTCCAAGGGGTCCAGCAAACGAGGGACATTTCCCAACTCTGGTGCCAGAGTGCTCTCTAGTTTGGTTCTGGCAGCCCAGTTCGGGTCTTCAACAGCAGCTAGAGGATGTGAGGTAGAGCTCAGAGAGGAGTATGAGGTGTGCAAGGCCAGACGACCTCTGTTCCCCCTTCCAGACCGTCCTGCCTGCTCTGTTCACAGCTTGCCTCACCAACCCCAGGGTCTAGCACCTGCTGATGCACAGCACGAGTTTGCAGACCAAATGAGTAAGGTGGTCCACCTCCACATGGCAGGGTGTGCTACCTCCACCTGACACTGCTGCCCCCACCCTATGGTGTCTCTTGTCTTCTGTTTCACCACACCATCCAGGTTTCCTCTCATTTCTGTAACAGTTACTTCTAAGCTTCCTTCTTTGTCTCCTTCCCTCCTCCCTACAGATGTGGGTGTTCCTTGGAGGTAGGGTGGGTTCACTGACTCCTGTGGCCTCAAAGACTTTCTCTGTTTGCTTATTCCCAGACTTGTCTGTAGCCTGGCCTTCTCTCATGAGCTCCACAGTCTTTGTTCAGCTGGTCTTTGGACATCACATCTAAAATTAGACTCACCATATCCCCCATAATATATGGCCAGCAGCACATTGAGAGGTGACTCCTGCAGGCATTGGACTAAAACATTACTTCAGCTATTCCTTTACAACTTTAGAGCAGGAAACTGAGGCTTAGAGAAGTGGAGTCAGGATTTGAACACCCTTCCACATGAATCCACCTTCTCTGATCCCCATCCATTCTTTCAACAAAGATTTATTGACAATAGTTATATTGTCACAGGCACAGGATAAGAACAAGACCCGGCCCCATGGAGCTTCCAGTCCATTGGAGGAAACTGATAGGCCATAAACACATGCCCAGTTACAGCATGCCACATTACTTGCCCAACTAGTGTGGGAATGGAGCTAGGAACCCAGTCAGAGCCTCTCCCTCAGAGCCCCTGTTGTAGTTGCAACTTGACATTTGTGGCACTTTCTGGGCTGTGAGATCCCCAAGGCCTGGGATGCCTATGGTTTGCTTCCACTGATCCCTGGGGTCTGTCTCCACAGTCCATGCTAATGAATATTTGTGAACTAAATGATGGATGAGGTAGCCCCCCCTCCCCAACTGGCAGTCACTGGGCTGAAAACTCAGGGGGGACCTCTGGTCTCTCCCAGCCCTCCATCCTCAGCTAGTCACCAGCTCATTGATCCTACCTTCAAATCCACCAAGTCTCAGTTGGCTTGGCCCAAGTACCCTCATCCTTTCCTGGATGATCTCTCCCTTGGCATGCCCATCCATTCTCTGCACAGCACACAGAGTGATATATTTAATAATAAAAAGATCTCCCTTAAAAAAAGACAATACACACAAACATGCTCATTGTAAACATTTCAAGAAAACAGAAGCCCATAGAGTAAAGAAGTGAAACCCCCTTCACTATCTCTCCCATTGTCAGTTTGGTATATATCCTCTAGAACCCTTTAGCCTGCCTTCCCAGTGGAGTTCTCTGGCCCCCTGTTGCATTTCCTGCCACTCTCCAATCTCTGACCTTATGGTCCCCTTTGTGTGGGACACTTTCACAAATGTCTTGCCCTTAGCACTCTCTCCCTGGCACTTCCTCAGAGTCACACCAGTGTGTATTCCCACTGGATATGCCAGGGGATGGGGAGAGGCTTTTTCTGTAATTCTTAGTACTGTTTCACATATCACAACAAGCATTAATCATTATTTTAACTTTTTGGGGGAAGTAATTATAGATTCATGGGAAGTAGCAAAGACTGGCTACATCTTGTGTAACTATAGTACACACAATGAGGAAACTGATATTGGTATGAAATGTACATACATTTCTTTGTCATGTTGTTCTCTATGTGGATTTGTGCAAGATACAGCATAATTTAATGACCACAAAGATCTCCGTCTTGCTATCCTTTTTGGTCACAACTCAACCCTCTCCCCCAACCATCCCTAGCCTGGCAACCACTAATCTGTTTTCCACCTGTATTATTTGGATTTTGAAAAGCATCCCCAAAATATTGAATAACAAAGCATTAATGAAAGTAAAATGACAGGTGAGGAAGCAGAAGTGGAGGTCAGACTGTTCAGTGCTGAAAGGAATTACAAACGTTAGAAATTGGGCCAGCTAGGAAAGTAGGCACATGCAGGACCACTCATTTAGGGAGATGTGTCAGTGCAGGTGACCAGGCCCATGTGAGAAAGAACACAGGAACAGGTTAGCAACCAGGGCCCCAGCCTCAGTTATTTCCTATGTTCCTCGTGTCACCTAGTAGGAACTGCTTCGCCTGAGGTCCGTCTTTCCCACTGACCCCTCAGCTCTAAAAAGTGGAACTTGAGCTGGGCGCCTGGGTGGCTCAGTTGGTTGAGCATCTGACTTCTGCTCAGGTCATGATCTCATGATTTGTGAGTCTGAGCCCCACATCATGCTCACTGCTGTCAGCACAGAGCCTACTTTGGAT